CAAAATAATAGTTAATTATTTTCGATATTAGATAATTACAAATCTTGCACCAACAAGATTTGTAATTATCTAATATCTTGTTTTTTTTGATGAGAAACATATAAAAATTATCTAATATCTTGATTCTTCTAATACGTTGACAAATTTATATTTGCCACTGTGCGCAATAATATCATATTAACTTTCTAAAGGGGGAAATATACGAAATCAAACTATAGTAATATTGGAAAAATATTGTAACAATTTATATGTTAATTTAACAGTCCGCTATGTCTAGACTTAATGGATTCGTATATATTGAATTGTAAAATGAATGTTAAAAATATGTAAAATTAGGCGATATTTGAATTGATTTATCCGTCATTATAGGCATTAATTCCTACATTAATGTTTTTTTTTGACAATAATTCCTTCATTAATGTTAAAACATAGGGATTGCACACACTTATATGGATATATTAATAACTAATCTGTAATCTCTCAAAAAAAAAAAAAAATTAACTAATCTGTAACATTGCAAATTTATAAGGATCAAGCTTAAGTATTTCCCGTAAACCCAGAGTTTTCTGTTAAAATAAATATCAAGGAAATGTAATTGAAGAAACGAAATCACAATTACGAACCTATTTACATAAACAGTAATTAAATTGAAAGGACACTAATCCTTCATGTCTTTTACAGCTTATGTAGATATCTAAATATTGCTTCGGCCAAACACGGAGAATTTATTTTGCCAATTACCTACTCTCCTCTTACTTTTTATTAAAGATAATCTGTCACCACAAATCAAATGTTTAGACGTACTATCCGTAAAAAATAATGACTTTCGCAAGAATGCATGGAAGTAAAAACACAGGAGAACCTTGTGGTAATAGCATATATTAACTGCAAAGGGTTCTATTGAGGCCCGATGAAAATCAATGAACCATCCACTTGGGCCATAACATAGTTTGGTATAACAACAACACCAAACTACAACCACACCAAGAGACAAGTTTATATAGTATAGAAATAAACAATATGAAATCCATTAATATCTACTTATGAATTAGATGGACCGATGGACGTGGAAAAACCTCGTGTGCTAATTTCTGAAGGCTCGTCAAGAACTTTGCAATGTGTATTTGTTTGGCTGACAATTCACCTATTGTCACCACTTCCTGAGAAAAGTGTTCTATATATCTACTGTCATGATGGCAAACCTGTATATATGTAAGAAAAATATATAAGTAACATTTATATTGAAAATAACATTGACATGCTAAATTACATTAAAAAGAAATTTATCAAGAATCAAAGTAGGTAAAACTGTTTTAATATATAATGGTTGATCCAAAGAGAATAAGATAACATAACATGAAGACGAATCCAAGCAAAAAAACATAACATTTCTCAGGCTGAATTGAATAAGTAAGCAAAAAACAAAAAAAGAGAGCAGGAAATACAAATAGAGGTGGAAGCGTTTAATTTAATCTTAGTGACCTATCTGCTATTTTAGTAATCTCTGTGGCTTGAATTTGCATTTCAAAATTAATGCATATTGATTTTCCCTCATCACCACTTTAATATAACGGAACCTGAAATACAATTACAATTAACAGGAAATGCATGAACATCTTCCTACCTAGTGGAAGAAAGATCCTAATCCATAAATAATAAGGTTGAACAGAGAAACGATTTCTTAAACAAACTATTAAATAGATAACTAATGAAGATATCTGAAATAACTATAGAAAAATCTCAAAATTAGATATAATATATCACCAACCGAGCACAAATCAATCAGAATAGACAATATACAACAAAACAACATTCGAAAAGTCACATAACAGTGTTGGTAGAAACCAATTCCGACGCAAGAGTACGCTGTGTCGAAATGACATCTTATACCAAAATGACCTCCATTCAAATTTCATACATTATTCATAAGATATTTATATATCTTACAGAACAAGTTTTGATTTGTTAACATCGAACTCCTTTGATTTTCTGCCGAATGAACATATCTGAATAACAAATGGCATAAATTTGAATACAATATGCAGAGAAAATACTAATTTGATGTAAATAATGCACTATACCAGATATGGAGAGACATGGTGCGTAACAATTTGTGTCATTCGTTGATTTATAAAAGAAATGCGGGCTTCTCCTTATTTGTTACTCTTCACTCGAATTTGTGAAAGAATTTATACATGAGCGAAGCAAGAAGCGGTGCAAAAGAGGAACAAATAGAAGCCTAGAAAAAAACATAGGGGATCGAGAAAAAAAACTGCAAAAAAATCATGCCAGAGGTTACAGATGCAGTTGGGGAAGAGATGGGGATACCAACGTGTTTTATATTTTGCAAAATAGTCCTAGGACTATAAAAAATTCTAGAAACTGCCATATGGTTTTGAAACCCTAAAGCGCTACGTCTCAACATATTATGCCATATATTGTCTTTTTATATATACTAGTAATCGTGCCCGTGCATTGCACGGAGTCCCATTCAACAAAGGAAAGAATATGATAGTACAAATTGTAATAAAAAATCTATCAATTAATATTGAAATATATATCTGTTAAATTCAAATTACACTGCTATTTCCTCCTTCTTCTTCTTCTCCTTCTGTGGAGTTCCGTCAGTTTAAATAGAGTAAAATTTGCAATGGGGTTGAGATCATAAAGTTATAACTTCTACCATGAGGAGTTAGTGGGGGTTAGAGTAGAAAAGGAAAGAAAAAAAATACAAAATTGCAAGGAAAAAATTGAAAAAACAATAATAAAAAAAAAGGAAAAAGAAAAAGAAAACAAAAAATGAGTGGACGGATAATAGAATTGCATAAATACAGGGAATTAATTGGAGTGGAATGACATCACTACCCAAAAGAATAGAAAAATATTCATGCAAATATTTTAAATTATGAACCGAACAATTATTATAGTCTTAAATTATAGATTTATTAATTGATAAAATTGTCCCTAAGTTTAAGTTTAGATTTTAGTTCAAAATATATTTCATAGTGAACAAATTTCAGGAAGAAACATGGAATCAAATAAACGACAGTTGGAAAATATATTATTGTTCATCCAATCCCACCCTTCATAGTGAAATATATCTAAGAAATATATATATAACTTAAAGATTCAATTCTTACGGGACTATCTTCTCATTCTTGCAGTTTTGTCCCCGAGATACACTACAAAAAAATATATTTTTTGTGACGAGATATTGTGACGAAAGTGAAATTCGTCACATCAATAACAAGTTTATACGATGAAATCAGATGTCGTCTCATAAAGTAATGTTTTATGAGACAATATTGTTTTCGTCACATTAAGTTGGTCTTATGTGACAACATTATAAATTCTTCTTGAAAAGAAATGTCTGGCTCATTCCAACGATTGGTGCACCCATTTTAGAGATAACATTTAGTTGTATTATGAAAAAGTAATTTCGTCACATTCATTTTTTATTGTGATAAAATTACTTTTGTCGCAAAACCAAATAATTTATAATTAAATATAAATTTAATTATAAATCTTTTACAATTAAATCTTTTGCCCAATGTTATTTTTTCCATCTATTATTTTACATCCATCTCTTGTTATTTTTCTCTCACCATTTTCCTTTCACACTCTCTCTCTCTCGTTTTGCTTGTTGCCTCCGCCACCACTGCCAGCCTTTCGCCTGTCGCCTCCGCCACCACCGCCAGCCTTCCGTCTGTCGCCTCCACCACCACTAGCCTCTCAATCGATTCAAGTAAGGTGATTTTGTTTTTCTCAATCTCTACCTCTAGTCTCTCTACCTCTGCTCATCTCAGGGGCGTACCTACGCCTAAGGCTGGGGTGGCCCCCGCCCCCCCAAGATTTTTTTTAAGCTGTTTTTTTTTTTTTTTTTGGGTATTTATGTATTAGTTTATACACTTTTGCCCCCCCCAAACGTTTAATTTTGTACACTTTAGTCCCTAAAAACAAAAAAAAAATTCTCTTAAATTACCCCTATATTTTCGCCCCTCAAGAAAACACCCCTGGGTCCGCCCCTGGCTCATCTGTCATTTTTTTTTTCTCTCCCAATCTTCAATCAAATGTGCTAAACTAGAGTTTTTGAGCCTCTACATCTACACCACTATCATTTTTCTTCTCTCTAATTCTGAAATCTAATATTAAGGTTTTGGCTAACGGTTCGTAAACTGGGGGTTTTTTTTTTCAAAAATTAAATTAAGGACATTTAATTTAATTTTCAAAATTCATTGAAGAATTCTTTGATGTTTGAATCTAAATTAGTTTTTCTGAATAAGAATTATGGAGTTTTCTGGTATGGTGCTTCAATGGAAGTGCAATAATGAAGCTCTATAGGTAGAAATGAAGAGTGAAACGAGCATAGATAAAAATTGAAGTGCATGGATGGAATCCCCCTGCTCTTGTTTACTATTAATTAATTCTCTTTAGCCAAAGTACGTTTGTGTTCTCCTTTGTTGGTTCATCTGCTTCGCCGGTGTCCGTTGAAATCGGCATTGGCTTTACTTATTGTATGAATATACTCTCTAAGTTATTGTATAAATATACTTATGGTTTACTTATATGAATTTTGGTTTGTTTGATTGACTACTTAAGACGAATCGAGGATTAAAAAGCGCAAAAAGCAAGGAACATGACGAAAAACACAAATCTCACAAAAATTTTCAAGCGCCATTGAGATAAAGGTATTTTCCAACACCTGAATTCCATTTAAATTGGGGTTAATATGATATTTGTTAAAACCTTGGCATACAACAAAGACCTCTTCAGCTAAATAATGGTGAATTAACCAACGGTACGAAGATAAAGAAGAAAGAACAGAGGGGATAGGCGAAATGTTAGCCGTTAATACACGCGACTGTTTCTCTTATTCAAATTCCTAGGTAATGATTTTTCATTTGCAGTTTGCGTTTAATTTCGATTTGATTTTCTTCTTTGTTGTAGATAATTTGATAAAGATTGGGCAATTTCTAACCCTAATTTCCATCTTCAGATTGATGGGTTTATCTGTAATTTTCATTACATTTGAAATAAGAAATCTGAGATTACGATTGATTGATTTAACAGGTTATCACAAGTGATAGGCAATTTGCAGATGTGTTTGTGCCTTGTCGATTTTCCAAAGGAAGATGCTTCTCTCTTAAGATGGGATATACTACACACCAAACTTCTACAAGGTACTCTCTTTCAGACTCTGAATGTAAGAAAATTGATTGTTGTGTGTTAGATGAGTCGAGTCGAATCGAAATCGATGTAAATATCGAGTCGTTTTTTCCGTAACTAATGTTGATTGTTAACTTCAACTGTGAAAATATTTGATATGTCCGCATTGATTAATTACCGATGCTTTCTCTAATGCAGCAGTACTGCAAATGCAGGCGTACGGCCTGTCGTCGTATCAGGTGCAAAAACGAGCGACGATTATGCAATTAATTGCTAGATAATATTATATGTTCTTTTTGGAACTAATGACTCCTTTGGATTGTGCTGTTACACCAGGTGTCGATGGCGTCAAAGTTTCTTCTTCTTCTTCGGTTGAAGAGTTCAGTTTTACAGCCACATCTTCTGACAAAGACGACGAACTAAAGGTAGTGAATACTGTAATAGTTTATTTATTATGTTGATAGTTTGTAATGAATTCTTTCCTTTAGGGTTTTTTTTTTTTTTTTTTTTTTAATTTCATGGTTTCTTTGCAGATCACTGTAGAGGTTTCCGGGACCAAAACGCAAGAAATATATGATCAATTTTTCGCCAAAATGGTTGAAGACGCACAGCCGATTCCTGGATTTCGAAAAGTAAAAGGAGGTAATTGAATTCACACTGGAAAGTCGATGTGTATAAAGTCGTTGGCTTAAAGCAATTTCTTCATTTTGTTTCCACATTTACGTTTTCTGTGATATGCATTGGAATAACCGAAATTCCTTTGGCACCAATCGAAAACTCTCAGGAAAGACCCCTAATATGAGTTTTAACACTTTCTGTTAAACTCTAAGTAATTTTTTTTGTTTCCCTAATGTAGAATATACCACCTTCTTGCAGATACCGAAAGAGATTCTTTTGGAAATTCTAGGCCCATCGAGAGTGTACCACCAAGTTATTAAGAAAGTGATAAACATTGCAGTTGCTAAATATGTAGCTAAGGTATATATGCTGCTGTCTTTACTCGACTGCATATTCATCGAATGGGGTTATTTTATATAATTATAATTCTCTTGAAATTGCAGGAAGGTTTAAAAGTTGGTAAAGAGTTAGAAATCTTTAAATGGAATTCAGGTCTTAGATTGTTGAAAAGATTCCGACTTGTTTGGCAATTTTAAATCCAAGGAGAGTTATTCTAAATTAGCTTGGGCATTCAACGTGTAGTTGTATTTGTTCTAAATTATCTCACATTTTGCTTAGAAAAATTAGTCACTGTGCTAATAAGTATATTTTTGGATTGGGATATTCTGATCCATATTAAATTATTTTTCATTTCCATTACTTGTTATGGTGGCCTTGAAATTTTAATCAATTCGAATTTCTTGCTTCAGATAAAAAGTTGAGTGAGAAACATAAAGACAAAAGCCGCAAGCATGATAATTCTTCAATTGTGAGTTTCTTGCTGAACTCTATATGCCCCGAAAAGTGTCTGTACATGTCAGCGGGTGATGAATTGATTATAATTCAATCTGAATCGCTGGTGTAACACCCAAATTCATTTTAACTAACACAAAATTTTAGATAATAGTTTTAATTAATGTCATCTCTGGTTCTTTTTGCAGGAAAAACAACACTATGGGATTGCTCATCTGCTACAAAATTAAGATCACTTATGGTGGTGTTGTCAGGGGCGTGCACCTTGGTTCCTTTCTAAAATTTAACTTACTATGCATAAAGTTAGTGTGTAAGTATAGCTATCTAATTATTGATTTTCCATTTGCAGAATAACAAGCGAGGAAGGAGCTTTTGGCGGGATGGATTGAGTAGAACCAATCACTTTCTTTCAAGGTTTCTCTTCATTGTACGGTTTGCATGGATTTCAGATTTCTTAATACTTTTGATATTCATTATACAATATTCTAATTATTTGTCAATATGATAAAGTTGCTATACGCGTAGCTTTGGTTGTTGTTAAGTGTATATTTTTACACTTTATCATACCTTTTTATTTGAGCTTTTGGTGTGTTTTAATGATAATTGGTCCTTAAAAAGTTGATTTATTGTATTTTAGGTACAAATTGAAGAATTGGAAAAGTATGGGGTCAAAACTGCAATTTTGGAGAAAATATGGGCCAAAAGTGAAAAAACCAAAATCTGGAGATTTAAAGCTCGGACGGCCGTCCGAGTTTTAGTTCAAATTATGGGACGGCCGTCCGAGACCCCGAAACAGCGCAATAAAGGGATTTTAATTGCACAAGGAAACTGCCTTCTTCCCAAAGTTCTTCACCCTATATAAGACCAAACCAAGCACACAATTGGATCATCTTTTTACGCAATTTGGAGAGCAACGAAGCAATAACGAAGACGAAGAATTCGAAGACTCTAAGCATAGATTTATTGTTTATGACTTATTTTATTTGTGTTTTTGCTTTAATCATGAGTAGCTAAATTTCTTATTTCTATGATTTTATTTGGAACCCTATGTGGGATTGATGAACCCAATTCTATGATTTTATGCAAGTTTTAATTCCAGATTATTTCTTCTACTTGTTTTATTAAGTGCATGAATTTGATCACCTTATGTGCTTTTATTTTATTGTTAATCGCATGAATCGGAAGATCGGGTTAATAATTAGAACTGTGGTAGAAGAGCCTTTGTGGTATTAACATAGGAATATAGTTAATCTCTTAGGTAGCCATCATTGAGATTTGTGCTTAATGTTGTGTTCTAGAATTAATTGCATAGGAATATAGTAATTGAATCTAGAGTATTAGAATTGTAATACACGCGGAAGCGGGTTATGATTATTTTAGCATCTCAGGTTAATAATCCGGGTTAATTGCTTGCATACTTGAAGGAATTGGGGGAATAATAATCACATAGGGGGAAGAATAAAATCGTAGGCTCGTTTACTCTGATAAATCTTCGTGTTTAATTTGCTTTCTTGCTTTGTCCTTTTAATTTGCCTTTTAATTTAATTTAGTTAAGTCTCTCTAATATTCGACTGTGTAGGGTGGGCTTGATAATAATTGCTAGAATTTAGCGTCTAGGATTAGATAATTAAATATTCCCTGTGCGTTCGATATCCGGACTTTTAGTCCACTATATTACTTGTACGATACGTGCACTTGCGTGTAGGTTTTCGCCCAACAAGTTTTTGGCGCCGTTGCCGGGGAATATTTTAATTATTTATTTTATTCTAGCTCTAGATTTGAACAATTTTCACGATTCACCCATTTAATTTTTGTTTTATTTTATTTTTCTTTTTAGGTACTGTGTATGCGTAGGAGACTCGATCTTGCTAGAGAACCGTTTGATCCCGAAATCGAACGTACTTTTCGAGCCGCTAGGAGACTTCAACGCGAAAACAATATAATGGAGGACGAAGAACGCAGGGCAGCGGGTAATTTACTCGGGGCCAACGGAAACCAAGTCCAAGAACCACCCCCTCAACTCCCTTTACAACCAGCAGCTAGGCCACGGGCACTTCAAGATTACATAATCCCGACTCATGACGGATTCCGCCCGAGCATCCAATATCCACCTATAGAGGCGCACAATTTTGAGATCAAGCAAGGCCTCTTGACGATGCTCCAAAATAACGGGCTATTTAGTGGATTGGCGGGTGAAAGATCCCCATCTTCACATTGTCAATTTTCTAGATACCTGTAATTCCCACCGTCAAAACGGCGTTTCCCAAGAGGCGCTACAATTAATACTTTTCAAGCACTCCTTACAAGGAAGAGCTCGCCAGTGGTTGATGTCCCAAGCCCCCCACTCTATCTCGTCGTGGTCTCAACTCCTCAACCTTTTCATGAAAGTTTACAGCTCACCCGAGAAGGACGAGAGAATCCGACGAGAAATTCACAATTTTGTCCAAGAGCAACCTTTTCATGTTAGTATTTGCATGTTCCGCTTCAATAATTTTCATGGTGAAAAATTAGAATTCATTAAATTTCAGAACCCTCTAAGGTACTTGTTTAGTTATTTAACGTCACCAATCTTTAATTTTCAGGTTTTAGTTTAAAGAATTCAAAAGTTAGACAATTTTTCGAGAACTCCCGTTTCATCATGTGAAGCAATGGTTGGAAATATAATTGCTACATTTTACTTATCATTGAAGTACAAAGAAGGTTGTTAGAAGGATATCGCTCCACTAAATGGATGGTGTATTTATATATTATGCAGTTTATATTTTAATGTAAGTTTCAATTTGATTTTATTGACTCCTATATTTTGTATGTGTAATGGTACTATACATTGTAATATAATTTTATTTATGAAATCGTTGTTTAGTTTTGTGGAAATGTATTATTAGTTTCTTTAATTTAATTGTAATAATATTAATGATGGAAATATTATATAACAAATTATACATTTATTAAAAAAAAGTTGAAAATAACTTTTTTGTGACGAGATATTTGTCTCAATAGATATCGTGTCTCATGTGACAAAATAATTTGTCACAAGAAGTAAGTGAAAAGATCATTTCTTGTGACGACAAACGTTTTTAGCGACAAACAAATTTTATTTATGCGACGAAAACTTGGTCACAATAATTAAATTGTCTGTGACGAATTTTGTATTCGTCACAATATCTTGTGACGAAAACTTCAGTTTGTCGCTTAATGCCTTCCGCGATGGGGCCTACGCGACGAACCCTGTGACGAAAAATACTGTCACCTAAATGTTTTTGTGATGAAATATTGATTTTTTGCGACGAGTTGTTTCGTCACATAAAAAAGTTTTTTTTGTGGTGATAGAAAAACAAAATAAAACATGTTATGCTTCATATAGCTAGATTTAGCTACTCACTTTGAGAACGTAGATAAAAGTACCGACTGCAACTTCTAAGGGTCTTGTTCATGTTTTGTACCTAGTCAGTTGCAATTTGTATGTAGCTGTCGATTGGTGATAGCGAAAGAGATAATAGAATATCTGAAAACATACTGTTAAAAAATTATCACGTAAAAATACCAAAAACTTCACTTCACTGATGAACAAACATACAATAAACTATGATCGAAAAAGTATTCGTAAAATCTAGAAAAATGCAAGATCTCGACGGGTGCTATATATGATATATGATATATGTGCCCAAAGATCTCGATGGGTGCTGAGCGAGCAACTGGCATAGACGCAAGTTGCCGTGAGAAGGGGTTGCCGTGGAATATCGATTGAGATCGTGATAGCCTGAGAAAATATATTTAGTGGCTTAATAGTAACTTCAGTTTTCCAAAGGATCCATATAAATTTGTTCGTCTCTTTCCCATGCATTGAAGACGAAAAACCTAATCTGAGTGCGAGGGCATGAAGTCTTTTTGATGGGAGCTTGGGCTCAAGAATGACCAATATATAGCAACTCGCTGTTGTTGTAGTGATGACTGACCCCTCGTGCGTTCCATATTAGAAACGACATAATTAACTTTCGTGATCGTTTGGTAACCTTGCCAGAGATCTGGTAATTCTATCGGTAGGGTCAAGGGTGTCGAAAATACAAGCTCTTCGGATTTGTAACTACTCTGCGAGTGGGCGGGACGTCGCTATGAGATCTTGGTGACAATGGAACACATGTGTTTTCCTCCTTTTCTCCATCATAATGATGAACCGCTATCTGAAGATTCTCATTGTCTAACAAATGCAAAGCTTTGAAGTAGTTTTCCACTTCTATCGGGTTCTTCTTTGCAGGATCGTTTTCGTCAAGTGTCTTATTACTTTGTTCCAAATTTTCACCATTTTCTTGTGGCACGGTGTTGAGTGTAGATTTTACACTCAATACGTTTAATTTACGTGGATCTTTTGTTTAGATTTAATTATATTTGTGCTTTAATTGATTAATTTTGTGTTTTATATGTGAAAAACGAGAATTAGGTGTTCATGAAGGAAAAAAGATCAAAAAGAAGGAAAAAGTTGCAAATAAGGAAATAAATTAAATTGGAAGAAGGAATCCCGCCACAACTTTGGCCGTGTCCACCATTTCGAGCATATTCTCTCATACGAACTCCAAATCAGCTGATTTTGGTGGCATTGGAAAGCTAATTTCAAGAGCTACAATTCTTGTTTATACAACATTCCAAAATTCCGAATCCAACATGGCACAAATCGACGAATAAATCCTAATTGGAGAAAGTGGCGGAAATTGATACCTATTAGGTTTCCACTACTTTCTTAGGTTTCCACTACTTTCTTATCAAGAAAAGCCTATAAAAGCAACAAGTCTCAATACCATACGCACGAAATTTTACACAACAAAACGCAAAGAACGAAGATCAACGAAGACTCAAGCATAGTTTTTCTTATTTATTTTATTTATTCTTTATTTATTCTATTTTGCTTATCATAAGAATTACAAGTAGCTATGTTTTTAATTTAGGATTTTGTTGGAACTCTATGTGGTGATTCAAACCTATTTTTCTAATATTATGCAAGATTAAATTCCATGATTATTTCTTCTATTTGATGTTATTTAGCGCATGAACTTAACTAATTTATGTTGCTATGTGTTATTGTTAGAATTGATTGACAGATCGTTTTAATAATTAGAACATGGATAGAAGAACCTTCGAGTAGTTTTCACCGGATGAGTGTGTTAATTGCATGTATTATCGTAGACATACAGATAATACCTTAGGTAGCCGTTTACGAGACTTGTTATTTAATGTTTTATTCATAATTGGTTTGCATAGACATATAGTGAATCATTTATGAATAATAGACTCATAATACACGCGACAACGGGTTATGAGTGATTGAGTGTCTCGGGGTTAATAATAAAGAATCGTAACTTGAATGATATATGTTTAATTGGGCGACGAATTACCGCATAGGGAGAATATAAAATCCTAAATCCGTTTTTATTGATATTTTCTCATATTTATTTGTTTTCATAATTAGTTTAATTATTTAGTTGATTATATTTCACAGCCTTGCGTTGGCTGGATAAAAATCATAATTGTTAGAATTCGGTACATAGGATTAGATAATTTGAGTATTCCCTGTGAGATCGATATCCGACTTTCACGAGTTCACACTTACTACTTATTTACGATACGTGCACTTGCGTCTTAGGTATTTAGCCCAACACACGGCATTATAATTGTGCTGGGCCGGTGGATCTTCATTCTCACGTCCCAACAAGAAAATGGTGAAAATTACCCTTCCCATTATTTACTTTTCTATTATTAATGGTAGATCGATCTCTTCCTTTAATCTAAAATTACCCTTCCCATTATTTACTATATATTACGTACTACTTTCATGCCTTTTTCGTTGTTGTTTTTCTATATAATTTCAATTTGTTTTTTTCAATTCATTGATTTAAAAAAATAATTATATTTGGAAAATATATTTGTTTTCAATTTTATTTTTTTAGTTATAAGTTTTTTCTGGTTCAATATCAACTATGAAATTTCTGAAAACAACTATAATATTTTCAAAATCAATTTTAATTTTCAAAATTTTCTGCTATTTTTTTAAAATTTTAATTTTCACATTTTCTTGGCCTTTTTTTTTTCCTTCCCAAAATCGACTATAAAATTGCGGAAAACAATTTTTCCTCTAAGAATCAACTATTATATACTGTAAAACAACTAAAAAATAGTTGTTTTCCAAATAGCAGGTTTACCAAATAAGAAATCAACTACGAATTAACGAAATCAATGGTAAAAAAATCAAATCAACTAAAAAATTGTCAAATCAACTAAAATTATTATCGAAATAAACTATAACATACGGAAATCAACTACTAAAATATAGAAAACAGTTACAAAAAATTCGAGAAAAATGAAGAGATTCGTCCATCTCTATGTAGAGATATGGTCCCTGACTTTCAAATCGCCAATATTTTTCCTCTTTATTTTTTCAATCCCTTCTCCATCAGGTCTCGAAAACTGACCACCAAGACTTTCCCCATAATTTCATATTCGGACAATGTGAACGGCGGCGGATATGTAGATGATGGTGGAAAGGGGAGTGATTGTGGCCGTGTATCTCCTGCTGCTGCCCTTCACCAAGGGATTGCACGAGAGAATGATGGGGGATCTGAGACGAAGACGAATAAGGGATACGGGGAAGATCGTGAGGTGACGTTGAGAAGGAGGTGCCAGACGGGATCGGTGGCAGTGGAGAGAGCATGTATGTTTATATAACCGTAATTAATTATATATAACAGTTGATGTAATTTTCTCTGTATTTCATTCATAATAATAAACTTTGAAGTGAAAAATAAACCAGAGAGCATGTAAGACATATATGCAACCTGCAAGAATATGCAAATGTGAAAACCTGATATTACATTCGTAGAAAGCAACATGTAGACATTTGATGATGACAAAACTATCCTTGATTTCATTCCGATCCCTAGTTCTTGTAAGAGCAACACCAGCGGTAGATATGAAAATGTTTGGAAGTGTTTTGGATCTTATTTTGATTTCATTTTGAGGAAATATGTTTTGGGGGAATAATTTGAGAATGAAAGTAATGTTTGTTTGTATTTTGGAAGGAGACAAAGTACACTGTATCAGTCAAATCATGTTTAAAGATGTTCGAAAAAAGTATTTTTGAAGAAAAAAATTGAGAGATGAAGTGATGTTTATTTGTTTTTTAGTGAAGACATTTTTTACTGTACTAGTCAAATCATTTTACTGTAACAATCACATCATGTCTGAGTCTGAAGGAGAGAGAAACTTTTGAAATTGTTTTGAGAAAATGATTTGAAAAGTGTAATAAATCCCATTTTGTTTTGGGAAAACAACGAAAACAAAACAAAAATGCATCCAAACATAGCCAATTTGAGATTGATTGTTATCAAAAATTGAGTTTAAGATAATATTGAGTTTAAGATAATATTTTAATATTGTCAAATATTGAGTTTAAGATAATATTTTAATATTTATTTAAAAATCATCTACTTTAACTATGATTATCGAATTAATTATCAATTAAAAATTTATGAGTGGTTTATTTGTTATTGCTACATGTCAATTTGGGATTGAATGTTTAGGTGGTTAAATTTTTGATAATTTAATTTCCAACATGTATTTTTACGTGAATTATCAAAATACAAACTTGTTTGATAACTCGTAGAAAGCCGTTATTTCTCTAATCAGATAGCCGCTAGAAAGTACTCCATCCGTTCCATAATATATGTTAGTTTGGAGAATATTTTTTGTTCCATATTATCTGTCACGTTAAATTTCAATTAATTATTTAATTTTCAGTTTATTTCCTTATTAACTCTTTTCAACACTCTTTTTTTTGTTAACTAATTTATCTCTATTAATTATAACTTATAAGACAAGATCATTTTAGTCTAAAAACATACATTTTCCTAAAATCAAGAGACATTTAACGAAATTCTTAATTTTTGTGCAAAGCTAAAAAACGACAATTAAATTGAAACGAAGGGAGTAATTACCAAATAAGTCAACCTAATTACATCCAAATGAATAATAAGTAAACAAAGCAGAAATTCCAAGAGGTTTGAAGAGACTGGATGGCCTTGAACCTGAGTCTTGTATGATAAGATTGAACGTAAACTCGCTGAGCCATTGAAGGTCACCAATAGTGGTCGCACGACGACGTTTAGTATTGGAAGTGAGAAAAACCAAAATTAAGTCGACAAGGAAAAGGAAAGAAAGTTGAGTTGGGTGGCCCAAACTAAGCAACATTCACATATACACAAACAAAATATAGGATAAATTCCACTTTCCCCTTTTATTTTGCCTCAGCATCATTTTATTCCTTTCTAGTTTTGTTAGCATCGATTTGATCCTCTGCATTTGAAAAATTGCTTCAATGTGGCCTTCTTTATTAATTTTTTGACACTTAACCCTAACATTGTTTGATCTAAGATCTAAATTTATAAAAATGTCACATATCCCAGTTTAAATAATTATTAAAAAAAAAATCCAAGACAACATAGTGCACACGCCAACCATATTTTTCTTAATGTTTTTAATAATTATTTAAATTGAGAGGGGTGACTTTTTTGTAATTTTTAGACTTAGATCAAACGGTGTTAATGTCAAATGTCAGAAAAATAAGGACGAGGGCCACATTGAGACAACTTTTTAAGTACATGGGGGCAAATCGATGCAATCGATGGTAAAACAAGATAAATTGATATCGAGCCAAAGTTATATATATATATATATATATATATATATATATATATATATTTCACTCTCCATTTTGCCCACGCCACGTATCCACGGCCCAACCCATTTTCAAAATCCAGCCCAAATCTTCAACAAAAAGGGGGAAAGAAACCACCTAGGGCTTTGCGATGAGAGAGAGAGATGATTTGTTCTGGATCCCGCTGCGGCGACGACGTCGACATGAAAGTTTGTGAATCAAAGGAGAAGAAGCCGAAAACGAAGAGGCGCAAGTTGCAATCGAAAAACGGCATGAGGGTTTCGGAGAAATCGAAAAGGAAGAAGAAGCGCAATTCACTGAAATCAGAAACTAGGGTTTCAAAAATTGAAACAGAGGAGGAGAAAATGGAGAGGAAGCGCAAGACAAGGATCGCTATATTGAAGGAGAGAGAAGTGATCATGGTATATCCCCTTTTTTGCCTTTAATTTCTGCTAATTTTTTTTTAATATTTTTATTTGTTCTAATAATCAATTTAGTTTCATAATTAAAGGGAGGCACCGCAGTCGTATTTGACAGAGATGATCCAGACACATGTATTCTTGGAGGGTATCTCAGAAAACTTGTCAACCTAGCAATCAATTTCTATAACGAAAAAAACGTATGTTTTTTTTTTTTTCAATTTTTTTAGGTCGAAGTAGAAAGAATGAATTGATAATTCTGTATGAATGTGTTTGCAGAGCACAAATTATCATTTGGTGCACATGATCAAAGCAATCCAGTCTCTATGCCAGGGTTCGGTTTTCAGTATGACATTTACCGTGAAGTGTCCCAACCAAGATGATTCCGATGCCATAACTTTAGACGCAGAGGTTTATAGGGGAATCCCAGACACTGTAGTACACCATGTTCGTGTGCTTGACGATGCACCTGCTATTTCACCTCTTACTGCTTAGCTTCTATCTATTGGTAATTTCGCTTTCTTTCTTCTTTCTTCTTTCTTCATTTTTTTTTTCTTTTTTCTTCCGATGTTTTATGTTTTCTTTCCTAAGATGATATGTCTATCTATACACACACAAACACATTATATATGGGTGGTGTATTTGTTAATTGTTGCTTAGCGAGAATCTACAATCTCAGCTTTTGTACACAAAATTATTATTACTCTATTCGAGCCAAAATATTCGCACTGAATCATCCGTTTTGGCCTTTGTGTGGTTAATGCAAACTTGGATTCCTAAGTATGTGGCGCAGAGAAAAAAACACAATTCCATTTTGGGATCGTATCCGAATCTTCACCGGCTATGATTTGATTACAGACATCTAGGAAATATAATTTTACTCCACATGCTTGTTTCTGCCTCGGCCCGGCCCGGCCCGGCATTTTTATTAGCATTTAACACTTTTTGGGATTTTTCATTTGCAGGTGATTCCAGCCTCTAGATCTCAGTCGTTATTCCAGCCTCTAGCTTCTGCAATATTAACTAGTGTTAATATTCATGTAATCGAACATGTTAACTAACTTTATTCGTGTGCATCTAGAATCGCTCACTTATTTGTGAAAACAAAAATGATGCTCAATGTTGTCTGTAATGCTATGCTTGATGTATTTTGACGATTTGCTTGCTCTATTGCTTTATTTTGTGCTAGTCCAATTTATGTTTCTTCTTTTAAGGATTTTTATTTTGTTTAGTCTTGCAAATTCTGTGGTCATCCGATTAGTGGATGAACAAATGCGAAACTATTCGTAAACTACACAGTTCTGCCGGCCTCATGTACATATAGAACTCGAATTCAAACCAATCTACTTAATATGTCGTGATTTGAAATTGTTTGTTTTGGCTTGGCTCGGTTCGACTTTGTTTTTTCTTTTTTTTTTTGAGTAAACATAATTAACCAAACTTGGACACAATATCATTCAATATGCTATGAAGCTCAACTCAAGCTCAAGATTAGGGATGGGTGGGATGATGATGGTGCTGTTTTTGCAATTCCTGCCCCGCTCTAGAATTCCCCATCACCATATTCCCGGAACACGCCCCGTAAAATCCCTAAATTCCTGCCCCGCTCTAGAATTCCCCATCACCATATTGCCGGAACACGCCCCGTAAAATCCCTAATTTATGTTTTCTTTTAATAAAAATGTGTGGTGGAAGCGAGGCGGCGGCAGAGAAGAGAAATGTGATATGCAATATGTTTTTTTTTTCTATAACAATGAATTGATGAAGAATTCTGAAGAGTGGAGTGATGTGGTTGCGGGCGAATGTTGATGGATGGATATACTTGAGGCATTAAGATTTAGGGTTGGGGATCACTATAACAAATCCCAACTTTTACCAAGTTTAAAACCACAATTGAGTACATATTTATAAGTTTTTTCTTACTTTAATGCCAAAATGAAATGAAAAGTACAAAAATACCATTTCTTACAAAATATCAATTATATCAATTTTTTTTTGAAATTACTTATTTTAAAACCAATTAAAAGAAAAAGAAAAAAAAACTCCCCTTTCAACCCACCCACCGGCGCCGCCTCCTCCCTCCACCGTTGCTCACAGGCCAGAATCTACCTACCCTCGGCGCCGCCGAAACCTCCGTCGTTATCAAACCTTCGCCGCCACCGTCGTTATCACAAGTAATATTTAGTTTCGATTTTTTTTTTCTTTAATATTGAGTTAGGATTTGATTGTTTGATATGGGTGCAATTTTTTTTTTTAGTGTTGTTTTAATATGGGGTTTTTAAAATGGTGTTATTTTGGGGGGAGTTAGCAAATTGGGGTTGGCCGCCACCGGGAACGGCGGCACCGGCTGGAGACGCCACCGCCAACGGCGGCACTGGCTGGAGACGCCGCCACCGGTGGCGTCTTCTACCGGTTTTTAAATTTTAAATATTTAATATTTTAATATTTTAATATTTTAATATTTTAATATTTTAATATTTAATATTATTTTTTAATATTTTATTATTTTAATATTTTATTATTTTAATATTTTATTAATTTATTATTTTAATATATAGACGGTCCAGATTGCACTGGAAAAATTCAATCCCACGGCCCAGATCAAGACTGCAACCTCGGAGGTTGTGCTTGACCAGGAGACGCCGTTGACAACGGCGTCTTTAGGAGACGCCACCGACAACGGCGTCTCCATTCTCTCTCCTGCCCCATTTTCTCTTCTTCCTCCCAGCTCTCCTCTCTCCTCCTTCCAGCTTCCTCCTTTCTGTTAAATTTCAAAAACAAAAAACCAAATTTATATTTCAAATTAAAAATAAAATATATAATATAATATATTAAGTTTATGTTTCTTACTGAACGTGATTGTAGCCATATTAATAGAATTTCCTTTCTTGGTTGAATTTGTACTGCATGAATTGTTAGAAAATTTTGCTACAATAACTTGGTCATTTCATTTTAAGATGATCTAATGCACTGCTTATACTTGATAGCATTATGGATCTATTTAGTTAATTCATGATTACCTACCGGAATAATTTCAGAATTAGTTCATGGAATTTATATGAGATAGTATATGTTATATATTATTTTTATTATTTAGCATGTTATATTTTATATATTTGATAATTTACAAAGTCTTAATTGCATGAAGATTTTAGTCCATCTCTAATGGAGAATTCTATTTAATTGATCCATCTGCCATATGTAATTTTGTGATATGAAAATGGTAAGAAATATTCCGTTCGTCGTTATGGTTTATCGTATGTAATCCATGAATGTGTATGAACATGCGGTGTATGAATTATTAGACCAGAAGTTCTAATATGTGCAAAATATTCATGAAATTGTTTATGGAGGTTACATTCCCATAAAACAATAATACTCCTTATTGTATTTGATTTAAGATAAAACACATGAGCAAATTCAAGTTCACCCAACTTAATGTATCTGGTGAAAGTTATATTAGTTGGAAAATGGATGTTAAGATCTATACGCTTAGTGGCCAATTGAGAATGATTGTTTTCAATGATAATTTATTAGGTAAAGCCCAGAAGGCTGAAACTATGTTTCTGATTACGAGATAATTAGATGAAGTCCTTCGTCTGGACTATCGAGGGTCCCCATACATAATGGGATAACCTAACTAGTCGTTTTAATTACCAAAAGACAATACACTTGCCCGAAGCAAGGAGCATGTGTTCATAAACGTTTTGTATATATGAACTTTAAAATCCGAATAGAGCTCAAAATCAGAACATATATATATATATATGGTGGATCTGAGCATTGGTCGCGCACCTGTAGTGCGAGAAACTTTGGGGCTGGGGATGCAAATAATAATGCACCAGCATAGACTGAGTTGACATAGACAAATGTTTCAATGTATAGCCCGTCGCTCAGCTTCCGTACTTGGGCACATCTGACCAAATAACCTATGTTGGGATATGATTGAACTATTGATTTCATGCATTATGTTTATTTTATTACTCGGGTTTATTAGTTTATTGAATTTCAATCATATTACTTCATATGCTCATGTTATGAACCATATTCATATTTTGATTATGTCTAGTTTATGCTCTAGACCATATATTTATGCTCTAAGTTAATTATTATGTTATTCAGTGGTGTTTTCTTGATGAATTTATTTAGTACCTGAAGTACTGAAAATATGTGATTAGAATATATAACGCTCTAGACATGACATGTGGGGATAAATGTCTGGCAGATAGTGCGACTACACATACTATCCTTAGAGATAAGTCGTACTTTATTAATTTCATGTCTATTAGTAGCAAAACATATTTGATAACTAAATGAGGCATACAGAGTTTTGATAGATGGTTATGGTAATGTCCACATTATGTTATTTTATCGCACAATATTGCCCATTGAAGTAGCTCATTTTTTCTCCACGTTCCAGTAGAACGTTATTAAACTTTAAAGATATTTGAGCTAATGGTTATTATGTTGAAACCATTGAAGACAAGAAATCAAATATATGTGCATCATCTCTAACGTGTACGGCCAGAAGCGTACATTGGAAAAATTCGAGGAATTTTTCGACACGGTTATGTAGAACCACAATTTGAATGCCAGAAGCATAAGTTGTCGATTGCTCAAAATTAAGTAATTTGATTATATGTCAGCATACGCACATACATATAATGATTCAATTCCTTTATTGGAGGTAATCCAAGAAGATATATGTGAAATATGTATCACCATCTATAACTTAAATTTAGAACCTTAGACAGGCGATCTCTTACCCGCTCAAATTGCGGACTGTCACTTTGATGAGATTGTCTTCCCGCCGTTAGGGGGAGGAAAGAACGTCCACACTAACGTTCCTGAAGAACGGCGTGAAGTCGTGTAAGACGACCCCACCGTGTCTCATCAAGATCCCCTACTTCAGATAATTGATATATAGATTAATAGATCATCCACACTAACGTTCCTGAAGAACGGCGTGAAGTCGTGTGGGATGACTACTAAATTTGCAAAGAATGTCAACATTAATGTTCCTGAAGAACAACATGAAGTCGTGTATGGCGAATAATGTCAGACTCATTCTATGGTTTGAAAAAGTGACGAGATCTCAAATAAGCCTTCAAGGATAGATGTCCTAGAAGGAAAATTGCGGGTAGACCATCATTCCATGTTAACTAGTCTTGCCTCCCTTCATATGAGAGGGGGAGCGCAATGGGACCAAATGATTCTCACCCCCAGAAGTGGATGAATGCCCAACAATTGAATCCGGTTAGCACTAGTATAAATGGAATCCCACCTGATCCATCTCATAAAATAATTTTGGACTATGGATTCGTCCTGCAGACGAAGTCGGGGGACGCCTCGACATTAATATCCATTCCCGTGAAAAGGAAAAACTCGGTTAGTTATTCATGCATGAACGAGATGTGGTATTGGGATGAAATGATGATCGATGATAAACTTCCCTACACAGTAGCTACTGATTGTTTTAACGAGTGATGATATAAAACCTGGATCCAAGCTGAATTTGATGGCCGAAATGAAAACAAAAATCAATCCAAGCTGAATTTGATTCCTTGATAAAATGAAGAGTTTAGAGACCAGTAGTTCCTACAACTCCTTGAATTTCACCCATGGGATATAAGTGAGTACTCACAAAGAAAATAAACGAGATTGAGAGCCAAAAAGCTCATCTCATAGCTTAAACGAGATTGGGAGCCAGGAGACTCGTCTCAATAGCTCAAGGAATAAAATGAGATTTGGAACCAGAAGATTCATCTCATAGCTTAAACGAGATTGGGAGCCAGGAGACTCATCTCAATAGCTCAAGGAATAAAATGAGATTGGGAACCAGAAGATTCATCTCATAGCTTAAACGAGATTGGGAGCCAGGAGACTCATCTCATAACTCAATTAATGAAATGAGATTGGGAACCAAGAGATTCATCTCATAGCTCAAATGAGATTCGTAACCAGAAGATTCATCTCATAGCTCAAGCGAGATTGGGAGCCAGGAGACTCATCTCATAACTCAATTAATGAAATGAGATTGGGAACCAGAAGATTCATCTCATAAATTAAACAAGATTGGGAGCCAGAAGACTTATCACATAGCTCGGCGATATTGGGAGCCAGAAGACTCATCTCATAGTACAATGATTTAAGAGCAAATGAGATTGGGAGCTCGAAGACTCATCTCATAGTTCAAGG